TACAATGACGACATGTTCAAGAACTAACACGACTGTTTGAATCAGAATTTGAAGGTCAAAAAACATTTTTATATAAAAGCTTCTGAACTGCCAATCTGTTTAAGGACAGTAACTTATGAATAAGAAAAATGACAAGGCAACAACAGCAGACACACAAAACCAAACATACTGTCGCACTGTGGAAATTCATCTTGTGGTGACATAATGGATTAATAAAAGCATCATCTGTTCTGTATTTTTGTTATGAATGAGTTACTCCTAAGAATTCTCTTAAAATATTTAATTATATAAAAATAAAGAGATAAAAATGACAGAAAATAACAGCCTATGACAGCCTCTCAATATCCATTATTTAAGTGGGCGGGGTCAAGAAAATTCGAACACACTCTTTAAAATGACTACGCTCGCTTGTATTTGAGTCATTATAAAGGGTGTGTTTTATTTATTTGTTATTTGTCTTCGTTACAATCTTTAAATTGCATGTGTGTATAACCATTTAATATATAAATTTGAAAAACATTTAAAGTATAAATAATAATCAGTGGTTGCCAATATTGATGGAATCGTTATGACTGATCAAGCTCCTGCTTAGCTCTACCAGCGCTCTATCAGTGTGTGAGATTTATCTCTGACCCGTAGTATCTTTTCCTGCCTCTGAACAGAAAAGGTGCAGATAGGTCGAACAGAGACAGGTGACCTCCTGATGCCCTTACGGGGATGATGTTCTGGTAGCTGGCCATGAGCTGGCACATTTCCTCCAGTGTTGAACCTGTAAGATACCAAGATATCGGAGTTTTTGTGGATTTGATGATGGAAGGATTCCTAGACCACAGTCTTGATATTTCATTTGATATGTTTTTAGCTTTTATGCTTTCTAATAATTGCGGATTGTTACCCATGAGCAAGATGACATCCTTGGTTTTGCCCTCAAACATAAGCTGAGTGAGCAGGTAAACAGTTAGAGCTCGGTTTGAGGGACCTGGGGCGTGTCTTGGGAGGCTGACCTGTCCAGAGAGCACCCATGGTGGGGGACTGCAGGGTCCACAGTCCTTTGATGCCTCAGAGAAGATACTTTCCAACAGCTCATCATCTGGGACATCCTGCCTGAGATCATCATCATTTTAAACTTTTATATCAACACCATCTGAGATCAAATCAAAATCTACTAGTGCTGTCAGCGATAATCTTGTTAAAATGATGAATGAACGCCATAACTGCATTAACGCGGAAAATCTCTGATAACGAGTTACCGCGGATCGCCCGTGCGTGGGGCTGGACGGCGTCAAAGCGTTAGCGCGGTTAGCTCATTAATGTGTTAGCGCCATCCAGCGGGGCGATCTGCGGTAACTCGTTAACGGAGATTTGCAGTTATGGCATTAACGTCATTTTAATGAGATTAACACTGACAGCACTAAAATCTACACATTACCACATGAAGCAACAACACAGCGTATGTGCCTACATTGATTTACACTTGCTGCAGTAAAGCTTGAGCGCCTCATGCAGTCTGTGGGGTTCATAGGCCTTCAGCTGGGCCCTGACATGGTGAACTCGACCCAGGCCACTCCGCTTAACTTCAGATAGTGTCACCTTCTGCATGTCATGGCTACAGCTTCTCTCTGAACACAAAAACCAACCCACAGAGGAAAAATGTTCATCATTAAACACTTGGTAGTAAATAGTAAATAGAATGGATAACAATTATTAAAATGGTAAATAAATATAAAACCACATTAGAAATGATACACAGATGTCATTTTTTAAAATAAATTAAGGATTTACTTTAAAAAAAGTCGTTTTTATTTAGACAGGATTGGTCCTAATTTACTGCTTTATATTCATTATAATACATTACCTGCACTTCCAAATCAAACCAATTAGCAATTACCAATGCAGTGCCGAATTTCATACCTGTACTGCAATCCAGTGTTTCACCATCTACAACACAGAACAAATCGAAGCATCAAAGACGGAACGAAACACAAGAAGGCAAATAAATAAGCATTAAGTTGGACAGGCATAAATTTAGCACACAACAGCAAGCTCGCTATCCTGAATTAAACATCTCCTTGGTACTGAACAACAGTTTGTAAAGCAATATCTGAAGAACTACATAGAAGTAAATTCAACACTACAGTTTTAGTTATAAATTTCTTTAGCTGTTCAGTACAGATAAAAGGTAAACACTATACAAGCATTACACAAACAGAAGCTTTCAAAGGACAAAAGTAAATTAATTTGGGTTTTAAAACTAAACTAACTGTACTTTATAAAAAAAAAAAAACTACCACTGTTACTATGTCATGAATTCAATTATTATTCCTATTTTCCTGTAATGTTTCGAAGTCTGTTAAGGTAAAACATGAAGTTCAAATACAGAATATTTGTTTTTCGCAATCACAATAAAAACAAAACTATGATATCTTCCATCTTTTTTAACAAAGGTATAAACAAAATTGTGGATTTGGAATTTACAGTTTTTGGAATGTTATACACATAATATTACTGCATGAGCGATTATATAAGTGTCCTGTAAAATCAGACTTGTTTGAAATCTATTTAAGTTTAATCAGTAGGAGCAGCAGTGACCATAGTTAGTACGGAAGTGCGAAATCTAGAGCTCATTCGTACCAAGAGACTCTGGTGGAGTTCTCCAGACCTCCAAGAGATCTGAGTCATTGAGTTCAGAGAGTGCTTCTTCATCATTTTCTTGGAAAGCTTCAATAACTCTATAGACAGAAATAAAAAGAAAAGAAATGTATTTAGTGATGCAATCAAAAACAAAGATGACAAAAAAATACTACACACTTAGCAAATAAAACCAGGAACATGAATCAAATACTACAATAAAATTATAGTTTACAGACAAAAACAAGAGCATCCATAATACAGGGTTGATTCTTAACCAAGATCAAGTCTTGGTGGCGATAATACTCCGTTATGGACAGCTGTGTACACCATGGAGTAGGCTTCCCTAAAACGTTTTTTTCAAGACACTTTTTCTCAAAAAAAGTGTCTAAAGTAGATCTTACTTACTCAACTGGTATAGTTACTAGTAAAACAGTGTGGGAGCACAGTTGTGTGTTACTGATAAATGCATTTTTCTTTATATTGTCCAGTGCTGCTGTGACAAAAGGACCCCACTCACACAGACTTGTAATGCACGTAAATGTTTGTTTACAAAAGCTTTACAATTTCAGTTCATACAGCTTGCAAGCTGTCTCTTCCTGCTTCGCTCCCCACAATGCTCTCACGCCATGTCCAGGCAAACTACCCAAACAGTCACAATAAGATGATGGAGGTCAGTTTTAGTCAGTCATCACCTGACACCACACCCTGAACCCACTGCTCCACCCCTCTGCTGCAGCCGAGGAACAAACCACATTTTTCTCTCATCTCTCACCGTACCTCTTCAGCTCCTGCACGTCAGGGCTGTTATCAGGAAGAATCCCGATCCCTCTGCCATATGACGTCCCTCCGTGCAGATGAAAAGCCAGGTGATCTACCTGTAATTGGCTTCTGGTAAGACCAGGCACTGTACTGGATCCTGCAATTGCTCGCAGGTTGTAGATCCTCAGGAAGACTCCAGGCTGATGGGACCCCCCCACCCCCCAAAAAAAATAGTCAGAAAAGACAAAACTTTTAGTATTGAAATGCTATAAAAACAAAAAAACAAACAAACACCAAACAAAACATGTTTTCAACTAGTAACCTGCAAGAGAGATGAAGACATCAGCACAAAAATGCCAAGTCAATTGTGAAGTTTGTTGTAAATGTATTGTGGCTTCAGTGTTTCACAAAAACATTTGGCAAGACAAAAGACAAACAACAGATGATGTAACTATTTGCAGTCTGAGCAACAACAAACATTCTCCCACTCTCTCACTGGTGCCATGCAAGTCACCATCTGTAACAACTCGGGGTTCGGTGCGACTTCAGTGACGCCGACATGTGGAACATTAATCACAGGAAGAAAATAGTTATAGAGCCTCGTCTAACTCTGAGAGCTGTCGTCCCAGCAGCGTAACAACACCTGGATGCTTTGTGTTGTTTTTGAAAAACTTCAACGTCCTTCAAAACTTTAATACCGTGTACACAAGGAATGTTAATAATATGAATACAAAGTGCACACATGTCAGTGTTCATATAGTCGAATCCTGCATACATCCCAAATGTAATAATCTGGGTCAGATAATAGATTCAAACTGAGGACCTTATTGCCTTGAGGCATCAGTGCTAACCACAGCACGACCATAATGCCCTATCCTGAAATTCTTCCACATTTTTTTCCAGATTGGTGAATCTGTGGCCATTTTACTTCTGAAAAAGCACTTTTCTGTCTTTCTAAGACACTGTTGTTTATATCCAAACGTGTTTATTGACCCGTTGTCAATTAAGCTACTTAGCTGCAAAATGTTCCTCCAGCTATATTTTTTTTAATACTAGTTACTTATCAGCAGATGGCAATGTTGCACCAAACCTACAGTCAGTGGTGGTGACAGTGATTCAGAGACTGGTCATTGAATTTGTGGGGTTTGTCATTTTGTTTTTTCTCCTCTCTCAGCTGTGATGATCCTGTAGCCAAAAGCAATCAAAAAACACTTCAGTAATCAAGTGTCCGAGCGACTCACTGACGCTTGGAGAGCTAGACACATACATATGGCCAAAGGCTAATTAAAGTCCTGAATCCTTGACACCAACACAAAGATCTGGTTATGGCTTGGACCCAGTTGTTCTTAGACATGTGAGTGTGACAACTAATCACTACGAAGTTGTTCTAAGCTTTGATTAAGAATTTAAGAATTGCAATGAGAACGGCTTCTTCTGGGATGACAACATATATGGATGTCTTACAATCTTTCTTTAATGTTTTCATTCTATTTTAATTCTCCTTATTATATTATCCCTCTGTTCAGCACTTTGGCCGACACTTGATGTCTTTTAAATGTGCTATATAAATAAAGATGACTTGAGTTGACTTGACAATGCAAAGCATTGCAATGTGCAGGATAATGCACCAGCTACCGCAGGCACTGTAGCCACAAAGCTATGAAGATAATGTAAACCTAATTCATTACACTGTAAATAAAAATTTAGTAACAATTAATCAATACTAATGACGAATAAGCAAAAATTCCCCGAAGACCTATGATGTAAACAAACAGGAAGTAAAAGCAAGAAACATTTAGGAAAATGTGTAGGAAAGTGTAGAACAACAAAAAACAAGATGATACAAATATGAAAGATATGAAAGCCACAGACTACGAAAATGAATGGCTAAACAGACAATTATGACAATGGGTGGGAGTAGGAAACTTGTACTTAAGGTTAGAGTTCCTTTCATTCTCCATCACTCTCTCCCCCCACCTTCCTGTCGCCCTTCTCCATTGTCCAAGCAAATGAAAACTTAAAAAATGTATTAAATAATTAACAAATAAGTAAATGAATAGCAATAATGTAACAATATGATTTCCTGCATAGTTCAGTAACCTCATTTTGCAGCTCACAGTTATAAGCATAAAAAACACTGGCCGCCAGTGCTACCTCTCAACCTTCCTGTAGATGCACCTGTTGGTATCAATTAGAAAAACCTAGGTGACATCTTACTCAAATTACTGTGTTCACAAGATTTTCAGAAAACTTAACGTCACTGAGATTTTTAGTAGATGCACCTATGATACTTATTTGAAAATCCTAGGTGACTTCCTTCTTGAGTTATCACATTCACAAGGTTTTCAAAAATGAAAACTATAGCAAAAAAGCAAAAAAAAAAGAAAATTCCAATTTTGAAAACACAACTTTCTTTTTTTTTTATAAAGCTCTGACTTGTATTATGAGTATGAGTCTGTGGTCTGGGAGAGAGTCCTGTAACTCAATGTTGGGCAATTAATTATATAGTTACTTCTTCAAAAAAGTAACTGAATTATGCAAACAACAAGTTTTTTTTTGCAGCTGTTTACCTAAAAATGCAGCCAATGCATTTTTTATAAAATAAACAACAGGAGATGTGTCACTCCTGTAACATCTGTAACACCCAGTAGTCGCCTCGTTGTTCTGACACACACAACAAATCTATTGACTACACTACACACCAACTACACTGAAAAAAAGGCCATGTTGGATTTACTTGATTTAGGGCTGCTCGATTATGGCAAAAA